CGCCCCCGAAGGCCCAGAAGCAGGCGAACACGAAGTAGAGCTCGTACAGCTCCTTGGGCGAGTCGGGCGGCGTGTTGCGCTCGGTGAGCAGGCACTCGAGCAGGTACAGGATGGTCTGGATCACCGTGATCTCGGGCACCGGCGTGATCCTCTTGAAGCCGAAGCGCAGCTTGTCCAGGCACATGGGCAGGTACTTGTCGAAGAGGATCATCAGGTTGGCCTTCTCCGACTGCACCTTGCGCCGCTCGATCCAACTGCTCACCACGCTGCGGAGGGCGGGGGGCGGCTGAGGCCTGGCCGCGTGGGGGGCCCACCCAGCGCCTCGCATCGGGACTCCTGGATCCAGCCGTGCCTGAAGCAGGCCCTGGCGAATTGAGCCAACAGACTTCCTCTACATGAGGCCTCCATCGGTGGGCCTTTTCTGCAGCACAGGACACTGACATCTGACACGCCCCAGCCTCATCACGTGTGTAACTGACACGCCCAGCCTCATCACATGTGTAACTGACATGCCCCAGCCTTGTCACGTGTGTAACGGACATGCTCCCAGGCTCATCACATGTGTGTGTAACTCTGACACATCCCAGCCTCATCACGTGCGTGAAACTGACAGGCCCCAGCCTCATCACGTGTGTAACCAACACACCCCCAGGCTTGTCACGTGTGTAACTGACACGCCCAGCCTCATCACGTGTGTAACTGACATGCCCCAGCCTTGTCACGTGTGTAACGGACGTGCTCCCAGGCTCATCACATGTGTGTGTAACTGACACGCCCAGCCTCATCACGTGTGTAACTGACACACCCCAGCCTCATCACATATGTAGCTGACACGCCCTAGCCTCATCATGCGTGTAATTGAAATATCCCAGCCTTATCACACGTGTAACTGACATGCCCCCGGCCTCATCATGTGTGTAACTGACACACCCCAGCCTCGTCATGTGTGTACTGACACGCCCTAGCCTCATCACATGTATAACTGACACACCCCAGCCTCATCATGTGTGTAATGGACACGCCCCAGCCTCATCTCTCTGCCAGTTTGGAGCGGGGCAGAGACACCCCAACTCACGGGTTCCAGCCCAGATCGGCAGGGTTGATGTAGAGAATGCCGGCTCTGGAGACGGTGGCCGGCGTGGCGGTCCGCAGGTGGCTGATCTCGAACACCAGCCTCATGGTGCGGTTCAGGGGGATCCGCTCGTTGCTGGCCAGGGTGAGGACCTAGCAAGGGAGGCCCCACGGTGGCGCCCAGGAGCCAAGGCGCCATCGCCGAGGGTGCCCCATGCGGACACATCTCAGAGCGAGGGGGAGGGAGCCGGGCCCCTGCACCCGGGCCCCACTGCTGACTGGCTCCCCCCAACCCGGCGTCTCAGTGTCCCTGACCCCGGTCCCGCCTCTGCCTGCTCCCGCCCCGGGACAAGGGTTAGGATTTCACTCTCACACGACCCCTCCCCTGGCCCGGGAATCCTGCATTCCCTCCCGTGCTTGATTGAGAATCATCTTTTAAGATGCTTCTAGATCATTCTTCCTTCCAAGGTATTAGCTATTTTTTCCGCCTTATGCCACGTGTAACTGGACAAGAATGTTTTTCATGTCTGCACCCTCCACCCACGCTGCTGCCAAAAATGTCTAAGACGGGACACGCATGGAGCAGGGTCACGCATGGAATGAATGGGGTCACACGAGGAGCACACCTTGTGACACGGACTTGCCCTGTTCATAACCGTCCGTGCAGAGCCCCACCCCCCGCCTCCCGTCTGCTGTGCAGGGTGGATGGTGACAGGGGTCCTGGGGGATCTCGAAGTCCAAGAGCCCCTCGCACCTTGTTGTCGTCCATGACGGTGTTGAGAGACTCGATCCACATGGGGTCGATGTCCCCATCCAGGACAATCCACTTGGGGCCTTCGTGGGTGATGTTGGCCAGGTCCCGCATGATGGTCGAGAAGAGGCCTGTGAGAGAGCAGGGCTGGTGTGAGCAGGGCTGGTGTGAGCAGGGCTGGTGTGAGCAGGGCTGGTGTGAGCAGGGCTGTGAGCAGGGCTGGTGTGAGTAGGGCTGGTGTGAGCAGGGCTGGTGTGAGCAGGGCTGTGAGGAGGGCTGGTGGGAGCTGACAGGCAGTGTGGGACCATCTCACCCAGGACTTTAGGCCCCTCCCTCCGCCTGGGCCATGCCTGTCCCCCCCACCCCCCTCCCCACCCCGCAGGTGCTCATTGCTCTCAG